TTTGGGCCGCTGGAACCACAGAAGATTGGAGAACACCACCATATACTTTTTAATCACCGGAAACGCATAAAACATCAAAGAACACTATTTCACAAACACTATATTCACGATTAGCATCCCATATTTTCTAAATGATGTATCAAAAATTTTGGTGTCTTTTTGTAGAGCAGATATTTACAAACAAAATAAGCACAAATTACGCATTCTCATGATGATTTCTCCTCAATTCAGAAGCTTCCAAACAGGAGCTCACAGTAATGCAACTTCACTTGCTGAAGGCAGTTTAAGTAAGTAGATAGGGACAGAACAATGAGAAGATTCACAGTGCGTTCTTTGATTGACAGTACATTACATTTACTTTTAATGTAAAGCAATATTATTTATATCAGTCATTGCTTGATTCCATTTCAAACATGAAATCGGTCTTTTCAAATGCCTTACAGATGGCATCATCACATTACTTGAAAGAACTGCTAGAATATCAAGTAATTGCGCAGTTAACAACTTCGATTTTGTGTGCTTTGGCAGCTAGCCAAAGTGCGCATAACCTCGAGTTGTTTGTTTATATAAGCATCCAGTAAATTATGTCATCGGTTGGAGAGCAATGCAGTGTAACTTCCAGCGATATATATGATTGCATTAAACCTTTCGACGGTTTCTCCTGATAATTTAATAGAATCTTTTTTTAATGGCCTAGAAGAATTATTTCACTGAATAGAATTACGAACAATGTTCACAAGATTATATTTACAAAAAAATATTTATCGGGCTCGCTAAAACATTTGTAATCTCAATGTCACCAAATCCAGAGTATACCGTATACGATTAAAACAAGCATTTTTGAATGCATGGAGATGGACAAAAACGTAAAAACATAAACATTTCACCAAAATTTTTACAGGTAATAAATTTTGTATTTTTGTTCACAGTTTCTCTAATTTTTATGTCAACATTTATTGGTAATCTATCAAATCCTCTAATTTTGTCATTTTGCATGAAAAGTGTTAATATTTCTCTCTCTTTTTCCATTAATTTTTCCCATTCTGCTTCTCCTGACTGTTGGTGAGTTTTCCATCATATATATTGGACAGCTGTTAAATATGCATGAATATGCATCATCTTTTAACATTGGATGTTTTCTCGGAATTCTTAAAATCGCGCCATTTTTATCCATGAATACATCTTCACGCACAATCATATCTTCGGAAAATTGTGCTTTTTGTACTGTATGCAGTAAAATATTTCATATTATGTCACCATATTAATTCAAATAAATTCATTCTTACTCCAAAAATAATAAATAAAGTCATATTTCAATAGTGAAATAATTGCTAACATGTTATTTGCATTGATTTTGGAAATATGATTTTTTAAAATATATAAGTTAACTTGCTTTATAGATTAGTTTCATTTTTAAATATTTTGCTATAATATTTATAAAAAGTATTTTAAGTATTAATTATTTTAACAAAATTTTAAAGAATAATTTAGCACGTATTTTTAGTACTAATTAAATTTAATAAATCAAAAGTATTTAAATTTATATTTCATTAGATGAATCTGCTTTAGCTTAATATATTTAGATGAAATAAAGTAATGAAACATTGCAAAGCAAATCTTATGAGGACTTCAGATACTTGAAAGGGCAGATTTAGTTTCTTTTCATTCTAAAAGTAACGCTGATGAACTATGAAAAAAATGGTAAAACGAGCATGTCTAAAAGCGGTCATATCATGACATTTCAGCGACGTTGACAAATTGCCAAGATGCTACAGCAAATATTTTGCATCTTCGCAACATTGTAAAGATGTCGTAGAAATTACCACGACCACTTTGCAACGTCGTGTGCTACTTGGGTTTACATAAAAGTGTTATGTTGATAATAGTTTAATTTTTGTTACGAAAGAAATCAGGTTAATTATTTTTCTTATTTAGGAAAAATCATAATTTTTATTTAATTCTTTGAATTATTAATTTAGTGTCTTATTATTTATGATTAATTCAATATTTGGATATGTAAATTCTTTAATTTTGAAGAAAAAAACAGATGCTTCAACGAATTTTTATTATTTTTCTTTTATTTGAATTTAATCAAGATCGCTGTGTTTTTGCGAAAGGATCAACGAAAGAGAACAAATTTTTGCCTAGTCATTTTCTCTCAGGGTGGCATTATTTTCCAAGAAATTTCTAGAAGGAAATTCCTTTGTTTCGGGTGACCTTTAGGACAGGAAGTATGTCACGAGGGGTCTAAGGTTGTCATTTCATCTACTGTGCCCGTCGTTTAATTGGCAATCTAAGTGTCCAGTCATTTAGCCACTTTAAAGAAGTGGTGCATGTGCAGTATGCATTTTCTGGTCTTTCAGGGTAAAAAATTAAAATTTGGTCCCGAAGGGGGGGGGCGAAAAATGAAGCCTATGTGGTAGCCTTGTTTTTTTGAAAAAAAGTGAAGGAGGATCTCGATGATAGAACACTTTTGGCTCGGGTTGTGGTAAGTGATAATATTTTTTAGTTTGAGCTAGGAAGGCTAAGGAAAGGGAGGAACTGCATTTATGCTCCTGACTTTGTTCTTTGTTAAGTTCGAGCAAAACAGAGTTCTAGATGTTTAGAGTGACAGTCGTTTTGCTACCCAACTGGTAATATTGGCTGGATGAATGCTTATAGAAGTATTCGGCAGAAGCATGGGGGGGGGGAGAAAAAAAAAGATTATTCTGCATTTTCGTTCCAGCTTCATCCTGCTGCTTTTATTGAGAGCTGGTATGGCCATACGTTATGCCTCATGGCTTGTTGCATGTTGAACGCTAGTCTTACCTCCCATGGGCTATGGAGGAGTCTTAGTCATTCCGAGTTCCATAATCGGACTGCAGCCCACTAAAATGTGTTAATACTACTGTATGATATGTCTAATATCCTTTTCTGCAGCCGTTTGATGAAGATAGAATTGTATTGCACGTGTACACAAGTTGAGAACTGAACCTCCTTAATTGAATATGGAAGATGTTGTTCGCATTTATACTCCCATGTGACGAGCCTTCTTCTGAAACGCTACAAGTCGCCGTGTTGGAAAAATCTTGACAGTTGCATGGATGTCTTTTTCATCCAGGAGCCAAGCTGCGTTGCAGTATTTTTGAGAACTTTTGGTTCCATTCATGCGTTTTTGACGGTAGTCCTCAGGTACCTCAGTTGGAGTATTGGTTCCCCTTCTATCTACAGATAAGTTATTTTCTTTATTCATCTTACAACTAAGAAAGGGACTAGTAGTTTCCCATGAAAGTAATTCAGGCAGGAACTTTGTAACTGAACTCTAACCTTTATCTTAGTAGAACATTCGTCTTGCTCCTCTATCCTTTACAGGAACTTAAATTTAGGCTGAAAGCTCCCCATAATTAATAATGTAAAAATTTTATGAAATAATCATTCGTCCAGACGTTAAATTCAGGCTTAAAACAAAAGAGGGAAATACGCATCATTCTTAAATTATCTTAATAGCTTCTGTTGAATATTAACTACTTATGACACATTCTTAATTTGGTGCCAAAATCTTAAATTAAATAAAATATGAAAATATAATAGGTAATTTATAAGAAATAGTATTGTGAAATTAATTATAATATCAGGAGACTTAATAAACTTAATATTAATTTGAAATCTATATTATGTTTTCATTTTTGTATTACATTTATCTTATATCCGATCTTTTCCTGAGCATGGTCCAGGTCAAGTCATACTCACAACGCAATGACTCCCGTTTAATTACGATCACAATTACGTCTAGTTTGCCAGCACTTATATTTTTATGATTTCTTAGGTTTGCTAGTTCAGTTAATTTAAGGTTTAATTAGTAATACAGTCAAAAGTTGTTAATCTGGACTCGTCGGGACTTCGGCGATTCCAGATTATTGATTTTTCCGGATTATAGATAATCAATTTAAATCTGGTAAGATGGCATGCAGAAATTACAAAATTAAAAATATGAAACCGTAATTTATGAAATAAAGAACAATTATGATCTAAAGGGTATCAAAATTTACAAAAAGAAAAGGCTTAATATTTATTTGTTTACATTATTAAACATTTCTGTCATCGCGCGCATGCGTAAAGCATACTTTACGCGCATAGTCGAAATTAGAAAATTGCAACCAGAAAACTATTTGATGTGTATTCGTGATATTTATAATGACAAGGAAATTGATTTAAATCATACGCGGAGTACATTGAGATGAAATACTACATTTAGTAAGGAATTATAAGCCAAATAAAATAAAAACATCTGCCCTGAAGATAAGGATAGTGCTGACAGATCAACTTCCAATTCATTGCGCGCCGCGGCGTCCCCCCCTGCCTCACCGCAGAGTAGCGTGAAATTAATAAACAGATTTCCGATTTCGAAACATACTTTCGCTTAGTAGATCCTTTACATATTAGTAAATATATATCGGAAGTTCTATTTGACATAATTGCAAGTTCAAGCTTACTTTTATAAAATTGCTCTAACAGTCTGCAAAAAATAATAAACCGGATCCAATTCGAAGATTTAAGAAACAACGCAATCTGCAACATTAACTGAATTAGATAATTTTAGCTTAGCTTATACCGTCCGTTATACATTCAACACGCATATTCGCAGCTGTAAAGGTCTTACGCGAACACGTAAACGCCTATGCGCATGCCTCAATGCAACGTATGCGCAGAAAGTTTGTAGCTTTGAGGTCCGGATTATGGGTGTCCGAATTAACGACTTTTGACTGTACTAACTTTGTTACGGATTCACCAGTAATATTGTAAAACCACAAAAACCCACAATATTACAAAAGTTCCAAAAAATCAGAAATATTCCTGGGCACACATCTGATACAGAAGAAAAATAATTATACATGGCAGTCTAAAGGGCAGACTAGACAATGAAAATTAATTAATTGGTAAAGTAATAGCATTTAATACTTTTAAAATAGTAGCATGCTACATTTAAATTTTAAAGTTAGTTAACATTATGAAGAACTTACTTTTAGGAAACACCCATGGCATATTTTCATTGGCTTTTCTTTTGTTTTCCGCATGTTTCAAATATATCTTGATAAAATGAGCTGAATCAAGCCATTCAGATTTTGAGCTATGCAACAGTAACTGAAAAATACTCATTAATATCAAATAAATTTTCAATTTCATTCATATATTGTTCATTATTAAATATGTGCTTATTATATAATATTTTTCAAGTAAACAAATTCTGTCATGTACGAGTGTACATGGAAATACAGAAAACAATGATAATCTAAATTTCGTTGTATTCTCGGGGAGGGACTTTTCAGAGTTTTTAAAAGAACATATAGCACGTTCTTTAAAATAGGGTTTAATTAAAAGTTTACATACATTTTATAACCTGTTATGTGAGGATTTTTAAAGATGCGCAAAATGAAACCTTGCTATCCAAACAGTGTGAAAAACATGAATTTTTCTATGCACACTGGGATACATGCAAAATACACTGGGCACACAAGAACACATTCTGAACTTAAGATTTAAGCATTACATTGTGCACCATCACAGGAACCTCCTCCCGAACTTCACAGTACTTATTGTTACAAACCTATATAAATTTTATCACATGAAGTCATAATTTCCAATAACCAACTTCACGGTTAACTTGGGAATATACTTCTTTTTTACCTCACTGTGTTGATGATTTGTTGCCTTGTTGGCATATTCTGTTGCAAAGGTATGAATATACAAGCAAAAAATCTCTAGACTACTAAGCTCATCTTTGAAAAAAAAACAAATGATATGTAGATGCAAAAATATGTATGTAGTAACATATTTTGAAACAACTATCATAATTAACAGCTTTGTCGCGTTTGCTTACTAGAACTTTACTTCCACGAACGCCCTCTGGCGAAAGAGACTAAAAGTAGTCAGTTGAACGGCTGACGCGTCAACAGATGTATAACGATAGACCGTCTCCGTATAAATTATGCTTGTAATCATTATAACTTGTAAATATTTTGTAGATATCTTTCATATGAATTAAAATTTCTTAAAAAGTTTATAGCTGTGTTGCGCAGTAAATCGAAGTTCATCATAGAGACGGATACCGACAAGAAGGAAAAGCAGGCAGTTCAGGGCAGCCCTATTTAGAAGGTAAGTGAACTTTCACTTATCTATTTAATGATCAAAAAAATTTTAATAGTACAAAGTTGATAAAATTTTTAAACATGGCGCCCGAACAGGGACTGCCAGTAACTGCTGTTTTCCTAACTATTGAAACTGTCTAAATTGATATATCAGTTATATAGAGGATACATAAGCATAAATAATTAGTGATTGCTGATAGTTGTTGAATTGTTGAATATTAAATAATGACGGAATTCATCGATACATTGAAAAGGAAACGCGGCCACATAAGGGCTGCCGTTACAAAATTAATTGGCCGAATCGAAAACTGAATTACCAAAAACAGAAGTGAATGCAGAGGAAACTAGAAATTTCCTTAGAACTCTTAAATGAAAAATCGATCGAGAGTTAAAACAAATAGATGCCGATATAGAAAAATTAATAGACATAAATTATCTGACCAGGAATTAAAACGGTGTTGACGAATATCGTGAAAGAATAACTACATTTAAATACAAGGCTACAAAAAATTGAAAGAAATTAATATAAGAACAACAAAAATTTAATGTGTTACGAAAGCACTGAACAGTTAAGTGAAAGTATTATAGAAAAAACGTTAAAATCGAAAGTCATAATGTGAAGCTTCCTAAACTTACGATTCCGAAGTTTTATGGCGAGAGCTGCGAATGGCTGACATTTTGGAACACTTTTTCATCAGCCATTACATTCAAAATAAAACGCTTGACGCTATAAGCAAATTTAATTATTTGAAATCCTTTTTGGGAGGTACTGCTTATAACACCATTGACGGTTTCGATTTAACCGAAGAAAATTACGAAACTTCAGTTAAACTCCTCACAGAAAGATTTGGAAATAAAGATGTACTGATAAACGCCCATATAGATAAATTACTGAAAATAAGACCTCTAAAAGATTCTAATGACATTCAAAATTTCCGTAAGTTATTCAATTATATACAGAAACATATTCGATGTCTTGAATCATTAAATATGACCTCAGAAACATATGGAGCTTTATTAACACCTATTTTGCTTAAAACATTGCCCCCAGATTTGGTTTTGGAGTATAATAAAACAGTTCGGAAAATCAAATTACGATTTGAATCACCTAGTGGAATTTCTTTCTGAACAGTTAGTTGCGCGGGGGGGAACGTACATTCCAGACGGTCCAGCCAAAGGCGGCGCCGCAAAAGCATAACAAACTGAGTGAACCCAGACCTATTGCGAAACACACACAGCTTCGGAGTTAACGAACGCAAGTTTGCGGGGGGGACAAACACCATGTGTTTTCTGCGACTCTTCTGATCACGAGTCTATAACGTGTAAACAAGCATCTTTATGGTCTACTGAGAAAAAAAAGGGAGAAATGCAAAGCGAAAGGGATCTGTTATCGCTGTTTACGCCCACGGCATCTTAGTTTTATTTGCACTTCTAGAATAAGGTGTGAATTTATGTAAACAACGACATGCCACTATAATGTGTTTTAAAAACGAAAACGGACCGAAATAGAAATTAAGGAAGAACAAATTGAAAATAAGGCCTTAACGAATAATTCATCCTATGAAAGTGTAATCTTGCAAACTTTAATTGTCAATGTTTACGGAGATGGTGAAAGCAATTTTATACGAATAATTCTGGATACCGGAAGTAGCAGATCATATATCAGCACATTTCTTGCGGAGAAATTAAAACTAAAATCTTTAGGTCAGGAAAGTGTGACTCATGGGCTTTTTGGAGGAATAGATAGAAAAAAGGGAAAATCACAACAAGTATCTGATTAAGTTAAATAATCCAGAAACAGGATTCACATGCGAAATGGAAGTTTTGAGCCAAAAAACCATATGCTCACATATTCCAAAATTGGAGGATAGGGAATGCTTAAAGAAACTAAGAGGTTACAAAAATTTTTCCCAGTGATGTAACTAATGAGAATTCTTGTTTATTTGAAAAACACCCTAACGAAACACATGCTTGTAGGAGCAGATTATGCCGGAAAAACTCTTTACAGGGGAAAACAAAACACGTAACGGAGAGTTTAGTAGCGATGAATACACACCTTGGTTGGACTATATTAGGGAGAACGAAGGTAAAGGGAAAGAATTTTAATGAAATTCTTTTATCACTACACATTAGTGACAGAAAAATTTGTGACTTGTGGTCTCTTGATTCTATCGGAATAACTGAACCAGCTCTTTCTCAAACGAAACAAGAAATAGAAAAGGCTACAGAAAATTATTTCATCCGTACTTTAGAAAGAGATGACACTGGAAGGTATCAGGTATCACTGCCATGGCTTCAAATTCATCCTGAGTTGCCAGATAATAGAATCCTTGCAGAAAAGCGCATCTGAAGTCTTGCGTGAAAACCCTTTCAGACTAAAGACGAATTCCTTAGAAGCCTACGAAACTGTTTTAAAAGGATTGGGTAGAAGAGGGAATAATTGAACCTATCGATATTTCGGAGGCAGAAAAGATAAAAGGGCATTATCTGCCACATAGAGCAGTGTTTCGGGAAAATTCGACTACCAAAATTCGACCAGTGTTCGACGCATCTGCAAAGGAGAAAAAATTCGGTATCTCTGAACGACTGTCCTGGAAAAGGGTCCTAATTATCTTGAATTGATCCCCAAAATTTTGATAAAATTTCGAGAGGGGAAGTATGGAGTAATTTCGGATATAAAAAGAGCATTTCTTCAGATAGGTGTGAATCCAGCGGATCGAGATTTTCTCCGCTTCCTATGGTGGGAGAAAAGGACAGCCTGAAAAACTGACTATATATCGGCACCGAAGGGTTGTATTCGGCGTAAAACGCCAGCCCCTTTTTACTCGCTGCCACAATTAACTACCATTTGGAAAATGTACCAAAACATCATCAGGAAATAGCTTCAAAGCTAAAGAAAGCCATGTATGTGGATACTGCGTAGCGAGCGTGGAATGGAATCAATTGAAGAATTAAACTCATTTATCAAAGGATCTAGAGAAATCAATGGCTACTGCCAAAATTTGACCTAAGAGGTTGGAAACATAATAGACTTAAAAATGAAACTTCAATTCTAAACCTTTCTGATAAAGATTATGAAGATGTTGTGTCAGTATTGGGATTGAAATGGGACTTGTTTGACGATACTTTGTCTTGTCACGTAAAATATGAAGAAAAAAACCCTGTATTGAGCAAAAGATCTGTTCTTTCCGAATTGAGTAAAATCTTTGACCCAATTGGGTTTACTAGTCCAGTTACTCTCATGCCTAAACTGATTTCTGCAAGAGTGCTGGAAACAGAAAATTAACTGGGATACTAATCTGCCGAATGATCTAGCAAGGAAATTTTTCACATGGTCATCTCAGTTAAAATATTTGAAACACATCAAAATTCCTAGATTGCTTCCCAAAATAGACGAAAGTACCACTCTGCATGTATTTTCGGACGCAAGCAAGGACGCGTATGCGACCTGCATTTTCCTTAGACACAGCGGTGAGAGTGGAGTCACTTGTCAGTTGATACAATTTAAAGCAAGAGTTGCTCCGCTAAAAGCACACACCATACCTCGACTAGAGATACTCGCTTGCACTATTGGAGCGAGGCTCTCTCATACAATAAGAGAAGACTTGAAACTAAAAGAGGTTCCAGTTTTTTACTGTGCGGATTCCAAAAATACCCTCTTTTGGATAAAACAGAAAGAAAATTGGTCCACTTTTGTAGCCAATCTAGTAAATGAGATTCGAAAATTGAGTAACTCAGATCACTGGCATCACATTCCCGGAAAGTTTAATCCTTCGGATTTGCCATCTCGCGGTTGCTCTGCAAAAGAATTGAGGAAATCCGAATGGTGGAAAGGACCAGATTGGATTTATCGACCTCCAGAAGAGTGGCCTATTGCAGATGGAGAACATCCTGACTTCGATATAGTAAATGGAGAGAGAAAAAACGAACTGTGGTTTCAGCCAGCAATAACACGAATACAGATAAATTTAAACTTTTTGACAATATTTCAAAATTTGAAAAGATCATAAAGGTCGTATCTTGGATCTTTAGATTCGTTAAAAAAAACAACACCACCATCTGAAAGAACTCATGGGAGAATTTCAGTCGAAGAACTAAAAGGAGCTGAAACAGTGGTTTTCCGACTCATCCAACGAGAATCTTTCGAAGGATTGAAAGATAAAAGAATACGTGCTCTAGAACCTATCATGGACTCCAATGGCCTTATAAAAGTGAAAACACGTATCTTTCAGAGAGACGATGATGCTGACTTTCGTTACCCAATTTTACTTCCCTCAGAACATCCATTAGTCTTAAAACTGATCAAATCTCAACATGAAAGGCTAAGTCACGCTGGAGTACAATTGGTTATGTGCGCTTTGTGTGAAAAATATTGGATCATAAAGAGTAGGAAGACTGTACGCAAGGTTATCCAAAACTGTGTACGATGTCGAAGGTTCGACTCTGATTCATATAAGATTCCTCAAGCGCCACTACCTGAAGACAGAATAAGAGATGCTTTAATTTTTGAGATTATTGGTGTTGATCTGACGGGTCCCTTAATTTTAAAAGGAGGCCAAAAAAACATGGATCGTCATTTTTACTTGCGCAATATATAGAGCAGTTCACTTAGAGCTAGTCTCATCTCTATCAACCGAAAGTTTCCTGCACGCGTTCAGGCGATTCATCGCTCGAAGGGGTAGACCTGTCACTGTATACTCTGACAATGGAACCAATTTTGTTGGATCAAATAATTTGTTTAAGACCATAGATTGGAATTCTATCTTAGAAAATGCAACAGTTAAGAAAATTGAATGGAAATTTATCCCCCCTTCCTCGCCATGGTGGGGAGGGTGGTGGGAAAGATTAATTGGAGTACTAAAGAGAATTCCTCGAAAGGTACTAGGAAAATCTTCTCTGAACTACGAAGAATTGTTGACAATCATTTGTGACTGCGAGAGCATTATGAACAACCGTCCTCTCACGTATTTGTCAGAAGACATAAAGGATTTAAGAGCTCTCACCCCAGCAATGTTTTCTAACAGAAATTCCAGAGACTGGAGTTCCTGAATTAGATCTTTTGGATTCTAAATCCATCAATAAAAGATACCTTTACAGAGCCAAATTGAGAGAAAAGATTTACGAAAAAGATTTCGATCAGAATTTTTAGGGCAACTAAAACAAAGCTCAAAATTCATCCGCGAAACCATCTTCTGTGAAAGTTGGTGATCTTGTAATTGTGTCCAACAACGAAAAAAGGATAAACTGGCCCTTAGCTAGAATCGTGGAAATTTTTCCATCCCACGACGGACACATTAGATTAGTGAAACTGAAAACTGCACAAGGGGAGATTATAAGACCTACTAAGAACCTCATACCTCTTGAACTCAACTTTACACCTGAGTCGGATATGCTAGTGAGGTACAGAACTCGACGTATGACGAAAACTCAAAAGACTTGAACTACAGGTCAGTTGAGGTCCATCCTCTGTTGATACTGGACCTCAAGGTGGGAGTGTCGCGTTTGCTTACTAGAACTTTACTTCCACGAACGCCCTCTGGCGAAAGAGACTAAAAGTAGTCAGTTGAACGGCTGACGCGTCTAACAGATGTATAACGATAGACAGTCTCCGTATAAATAAATTATGCTTGTAATCATTATAACTTGTAAATATTTTGTAGATATCTTTCATATGAATTAAAATTTCTTAAAAAGTTTATAGCTGTGTTGCGCAGTAAATCGAAGTTCATCATAGAGACAGATACCGAGAAGAAGGAAAAGCAGGCAGTTCAGGGCAGCCCTATTTAGAAGGTAAGTGAACTTTCACTTATCTATTTAATGATCAAAAAATTTTAATAGTGCAAAGTTGATAAAATTTTTTAACAAGCTTCTTAATGAACAACTATACATATTACAATAAATACTGCACTGATAATTAAAGGTCTTCCACTGTCTATTATCCCAAGAATCATTACTCCTGGAATAATAGGATTCCTGGACCCACTCCCACTAGCTGGCTTATAAACTGGGTAAGCCCTTGATCTTATGACATGGTATATTTAACACTTTTTAACTTTGACTTCTTTATCCCTTCTTTGGAACTGCCAGTCAATGTTTTAAAACAAAGGTAAGTCAATGTTTTAAAACAAAGGTATTCTTATGATAACCCACAATTTTATTTCTAAATTTTGATAATAATTCACAGATAATCCACCTACAGACAATCAGAAGTTCTGTACACATACAAACTTGCATAAGAGCTGATATAAGAAACAAATAACTTCATTTTCGTGTGGTAAGTAACTGATAATGCTCTTCATGCTAATTTCCTTAAATTATTGAAAATACTTTTATAAAGCACTACATATGTTGGGAAAAAATGTATTTTCTATTCAGCCAATTGAAACTTTTCTAAAATTCAATGAAAATTAAGCTTGTGCAGGAATCTAAATAAATTTAAAAAATATCCTCTAAAACAGGAAAATGCTGTTCATGCTAGTTTAAAAGCAAAAAAATTAATTATACACAAGAAATTTACTGCATTTTAAAATTAACTTTTTAAAACTTTAGTTTTAGTGAAATCAACTAAAAAGTATTTCATTTCAAAATCTACATTTACTTTAGTAATTTAAATCAACACAAATTCTTCTGAATTCACCTATATTATATTTAGGCTATAAAATCTCTATTTATGAAAGATTTACTTCAACAAGAAAAAGTTGCTAGCAAGCTTGCTATATAGCACTGATTTTTTTATAAATAAAAAGCTTTAAAAAGCAACAAAGAAAAAATATTTACTGGGAATGAATTACATATTTATCCTATGACTTTGCTAAAGGCAAGCAGAACAACAAAACTAAGTTTATGTTAAATAAATAAATAAAGTAGTCTTACTGGAATTAAAATATTCAAGAGAGATATATATGAAATGCCACATGTTGCAATTTTATCTTCATAAAAATTAATATCTTTTGTAATGCAGCTCCACATCCATGCAAGTTCCAAAGATAATTCATTCATATCTAAAATAAATGAAATGTATAAAAAAGTGATTTTATTTATATACTATTTATATTTGTAAGTACACATCATAACTGCCATTCTAGGCCTGGATATCATTTTATCAAAAATAACATTACAGAATGAAAAAGAAATGTAAAATAACTAGAAGAAAAGAATAAATGAATGTAAACAGAGTGTCAAGAATTGAGGAACTCTATTTCAAACCAGCATACAGGCGAAATCACTCATCAGAAAATTGTGAAATTTTGTGGCGGACTCAACAAAGGATGTGGTTTCCAAACTATGCATTGCAACCTCGTTGCAGGGAATAATACTGCAAAATACTGTAAAAGCTTCATAATGGATTGAACCAAGTTATATCACCTCACAAAACAAAAACAAAAACAAAAAAAAAAAAAAAAGTGAGAAGTTAAAAATATCTAAATTTTTTTGTGAGGTTTGTTTTACTTGACCCTGCATAAAAGCACTGGTAGTTCGGTCCGAGGTTCGAATCCCGCGAACGGGCTGGCTGCATGGGTGTTTTCGTGGTTTTCCCCATGTGTAACGTGTATTCGAGCCAGTTTCCCTTAGAGAGTCCTCCACGAAGGCAACCCTCCCCTTAGGCAGATAGCCCTCGAGGCTTTGCCGTAATTAAATAACTTAACCTAACCTAACCCTGCATAAAAGTAAAGTCACCAGCGCAGAATATTCTTGCGAATGCGAGTAGGCAATGCTGCGTTTTCACGATCAAACCATATGATTGTGCTACACCTCATGACAATCTAGCCTGAGAACAGAAACAAGGCTAAAACAACTTTTTGACAGCACATTCCATAAAACGAAACCCTGAACTTCTCTTTGTATTATTGTTAAAGTTAACTCATGTCGTTTGATTGGGGTTTGGGTGTACCGACTTTCAGAAGCCGTTTTTGCCCCGGAGTCAAAAATGCACCACTTTCTTTCCGATACATGCAATACAATTTCAGATTACATGCGGTTTATACTTTTCATAGAATCACCAGTCAAATCAACAGCAAAAGTAGCAATTTCGTTACTGGCTTTATGAAAAAAAAATGCTTCTGCAATTTGGCAGAAACATTCATAATGATAATCTTAACAGAACTGCATACTAGTTTTCCAGCCTTATGAGGTTTTGAAATTCTACACATATGTCAAAGATGAAGCAAACACCATAATAATTGCTTTTTTCCAGTCACTGAATGGATTAATGCTTTAATTGAGGTAAAGTTCTTGAACTGACACAACTTATCAGATGTTTCAAATGGCTCCAAAGCCAAAGATCGCATTGATTGAGGTCTGAATCAGGAAGGCTGCACATTTTGGAAGTGCAAGCTGATGACACATTCTTCTGTAAAATGATATAAGAACATTTGTAAGATACTGTGCAATGTGAGGTGGACTCCATTTTGCATAAAGATTGTGCATGCAAGGCACTGACATGCTTACAGAGCCGGAACAATTTTGTTCTCTAACAGCGATGCATATTGCTGCCTAATGATCAAGCATGTCACTAGACCTGTAGAACTTAACTCCTTAAAGAAGTACAGCCATGAATAAATTATGCAAGAATTCCACACCATTCACTTTTAATGAATGCAATAGAACCTCTAAAATAGATAGCGGATTCTCTGGTTCCCGGATTTGGCAGTTATGAATATTCAGTGTACAATCTTAATGAAAATGCCCTTTGTTTATCCAGAGGATACTCCAAGGTTCTTCTGAATCGACCTCAAAGCAAGCACGGAGTCAAACGGGAATCAAAGTCGAGCATCAAAATCATGTTGAAGAAACTGCTGCACCAGTGAAAGTTTGTACAGATAATATCAGAGGATATTCTGATCAGAGGATTCTTATTTTCAAAATAAAGCATGATTGTAAAAACTTATTATCACTGTAAGCAATAATCACATTGAAAATAAAATCTACAAATGTTTCTAGGTTTTTATAACTGTTGCTGCATAACGTCAACAAAGATTTACATTTTTACTGCAGGTTTTCAAAGTAAAATGCTCTCTGATGATGCTATCTGTAACTATTTTTTTTCCCCACTCAAAGATATTCCCATGCCTTCATTAAGTCTGTTACAAAATTTAATGATTTTCTACTGACTGGTTTCCCCTGTAGACAACTTTGAAATAGGGCTCTTTAATTCTGGACACGGTAGTTATTATAATGTCATATATATGTGTGTGTGTGTGTGATAAAAACAAACTTAGAAGTAATGATGAGCAGAATTTTGATGGCATAGAAGTGTTGATCCATAATGACTAGGAAATTGGAGGAGAAGGCAGATTAAATCTTCAGTTTTTATTTCAGCAACATGTTGCAGCCACAAACAAGTTGGAACATTAAATGTGTCTATTCCGAACAGTTTACATTTTAGATAAATTTGGAGTAAGATAGAAGGAGCAAACAGACTGCAGTCCAGCTAGGCCAAAGCATAGAAAACAAATGCGTAATGTTCAGCATGAAATCTTATTTCAGACTGAGTTAGTTTTGGTTCACAATGCATTTTGATTGGATAGTTAATATTGTTGTAAAATTACTATTGGCTGCTTGAGTTTTAATTCCATTGCATCATCAGAATTATGTAAAAGTCATATGACATATATTAATCTAGAAACGACGCAATGGAGGGAGAGAGGTTACTATTTTTAGAATTCAGAAGAAAATTTACATTGCTAATTTAATCTTTCACATATTTTTGATTTTTCTTATATATATCAATGTGCCATTGCAAAGTGTTCAACTTTTGAAATATGGAGAGAGTATCACACTGACAATTTTTTCATTATAATGACATTATCAACTGCTGTTCTTTCTTGCATACAGATGTCATCATCAGTAGCCAAACGGTTTTTAAGTCTGTTGAATAAACAGGGGTCAAGTTACTTCTCAAGGCACATTACACAAAAAACACACTCTAACAATAAGAGGTTTTTTTATTAAGAAACTAATGTGTGAATTAAAAAAATTATCAAGGATTAATTTATCAAAATTAGAACTTTTCATTTCCTTTCTTTATTCAGATTTTTGAATGCTTAGAGAATGAATGAATTCTACTGTAAACCAATTACCTAAATGTAGTGAAAAATAAATAAAAATTAAGGCAACAAGAATAAAATTATAAATGGTTGAATATACAATCAATAATTATAAAAGAGTAACATAATTTAAATATTTTTAAATTTTTACCTAAATTTAGTGGCAAAATTTCAATTGAGTATAAGAAGACAATGGGATTACATGAAGAAACTTCTAACCACAGTTCTGCTTTAGAAGAGTCTGAAATGCAATAAATATCAAATTAAATATTAAAAAGACAGAAAGCAGAAACTTACCTTTCTGCTTATAGAGGATTTTAAATACAGTCAAAAGTCGTTAATCCGGACTCGTCGGGACTTCGGCGATTCCGGAATATCGATTTTTCTGGATTATAGATCATCAGTTAAATCTGGTAAGATGGCATGCAGAAATTATAAAGTTAAAAATATGAAATCGTAATTTATGAAATAAAGAACAATTATGATATAAAGGGTATCAAAATTTACGAAACAAAAGCTTAATATTTGTTTGTTTACTTTATTAAACATTTCTTTCAATGTAAGTTGTTTAAGTTACTTCCTTTTTTATGTGATAATACTTTCTCTTTAATTCTATAAACAGACATAATTTCTTGTTCAGTTACAAAGTTTCACTGTTCAAGTCCTATAATTGTTGTGTCGAGAATACCGACCAATTTGTCAATCGAAATGTTTTCATTTTCAATAACCTCTGAGTCACTTTCTTCGCTATCGGAAGCGAATTATAATGACGAGGAATTTGATTTAAATCATATCAAAGACGGAGTACATCGAGATGAAATACTACATTTAGTAAGGAATTATAAGCCAAATAAAATAAAAACATCTGTCCTGAAGATAAGGATAGTGCTGACAGATCAACTTCCAATTCATACGCTTAATTTCTATGCTTTTCACTTTTTTTCTGTTTTTTCATGGTCAACCTTTTTTCTCCTTTTTATTTTAATTAACTTTTCAAATATTATCGTATCTCATAAAGAATTGATATATTTATTGCAAGCCCAAAATATATGAAAAATTCTACAGCAGGAAAAAGTCGCACATTAAAAAATTCATTATCTTTCTAATTACTCTTCTGTTTAGGCTTTTAAATCCAATATGAAAATAAAATAAAATGAATTCCAACTTTAATATAAAATCAATTTTTTAGATGCTTAATACACATACAATATGAATGAATGAATATGTACATGTGACATACAATATGAATTAATATATACATGTAACATACAGTATGAATGAATATATATATGTGTGTGTGTAGAACAGAAACAACAAAGTGGAAGAAAGCTCATTCCTCAAAATTCATTAAAAACTTGCTCATCCAAGTTTCAAATTCAATTATATAATATCAAAGATATTCTTTTTAAGAAATATTTAGATTTTTTCTTTTATTAAATAGAGTTGTTGTATGAATACATTTAACAGTACATGCATTCATACTAATCAGATTAATAAATATAAGCAGTACCATCAAGTATCCCGGCAAAATTTTGGAGTTTTCCCATAAGAGCTAAAACATTTGCAGCTATTTCTTTCAATCTACCACAACTTGATTGAATACAGTCATTAATTATTTGAATGATGGTCTTGGCAAACATTATGAAGGTTCTAGAAGTCATACACAGAGCATTCTTTTCAAGCAAAATACTGAAACTTACCTGAAAGAATAAAATTATGTACTAAAAAGATATTACATTTCATCAATGCAAAATAAAAATCACACAAAACAAGAAAGGCAGTATATTCATACCACTTCAAATTTTATTAAGGCAGACGGAATCCTTACAGAATTATTTAATTAGAGCTAAAAACACTCTTAAATTCTATTCAGAATGTAAATGATATACCATATTATTTTAAATGTAAGCCTCTTTATAATTTTAAGCAACTGTAGGATTGAAAATTGAAATAATAATAAGAAATAAAAATTATTTTGATAAGTATTAAAAAATAAAATACATTTTTACTTTCTTAAATAGATAGTAACATAGTTATAATAAGCTACCTAATTTATAGCAAAATGCCAAAACATACCTTTTGAATTCCCCCCCCCCACACACACACCCTAAAAATTTAAGTAAAAACTGTGGTTTAGAAATAACAATAACTTTTCCATAAACTAAAATACAAAATCTCTTTATCTTAAACTTCTATAATGATTTTTTCCTCCTTAACTTTTACTTAACGTAAAATTCTTTGCAGATGTATTCCTAGTCTCGGGGGGGGGGGGTAATGTTACCCGCGTCCGTGATTATCCTTAAGTCACACGTGCCCCCTGGGTGGTGCTAAACGGGTAACTGTCACAAAGTCCTGTGGCATACTGGGGTTTAGTGGGATGAGGTTCGGTCTGATGATGAGTAATCTTATGACGACCCAACGGACCGCTCTTCCCTGGAAAAACCGGCGACTGTGGGGAGGATTTGAAATTCCAAGGACCTTTGATCTGGAGAGGAGGGGTCTTGGAGGAAGCAGCCATGTAGAGGATACAGGAGAAAAGCTGAGTTTTGCGTCTCAGGCCGCCAGATAGTACAGGAGCCCGGGGCAGCCTAACCAGCATGTCCTGGCTGCTCTATCAGCTGGTGTATAATCTCGCCTGCCTTGTAGTTCCAGGTGGTGCCTGGGTGGGGTCCTGCATGGCAGAGCAGGGGGCTCTTCCGAGGTCACTACTGGCTGCTGAATCTGGGGCTAGCCCCTCCAAACTGGCTCTTAGAAAATCGGAAGGAATTTTTCTCCCCCTTCTTTCAATCTTATACCAAAATGGATGCTTGCAATACAAAATTAGATAAAAATGCATCTTCTGAAATCCCCACTATAACCACTGTAGTTCCTTCTGAGGGAGTGAATGTACCCTCGGGTGCGGACGCTCTTCTCTTCAGGACTACAGAAACCAGAACCGCTGGTGAAAGGGTGAATGTGCCTTCGGACACGGACGCCTTGAACCTAGTGGGGATGGATACTGACTCCTCTGTCAGAAGTAATGTGCCAGATGCGCAAGCGGATGACCAGTCACCAATGACAGAGGTTGTAAATAAAAGAAGAAAAAAAAGGCAACGCCAGAAAGAGCGGAAACGGCTGGAGAGGGCCATGGAAGGGATCTCGATCTCTGGGAAGAAGGGAGCGAAGGAGAAAACAGATAAAGCTGGGACCTCTGGAGCGACCTCCAAACCGGTGAGGAAGAACCATCCAAGCAATGAAGAGTCTTGTAAGAGAGAACGCATTGCTGGTGACACCCCGGAAATGGCCCTCAAGAAACGACGGCTATATAGTCAAGCTGCAAGAAATGCAATCACTCTGCGAATCGTCTGCAAGGATGACTCCAGAGACATAACATCAGTAGATTCAGATTTCATCACCTCTATAATTGATGACCGAATTATCGATGGCTCTATCACCACCTGCAGGGTCCACAAGACAGTCCTGCAGCCGAATGGCCTCAACATTGCACGTGAGGACCAGGAGACTGTGGACGTCCTAAAGACTTAATTAATGATCTACCTGGCCCTGAAGAAAACCATCCAGGTTATCATGCCATGGCTCCCGGGGACAGACCCCCCATGAAGAGGTTTTTCGCTTGGTTTTTGGTAACAGGTCACCAAAAGATAACATCAAGCTCCTTGATGCCTGTAACAAGGGCCTGGATGTTAAGAAGATCGCCATCAAGGCAGTTATCCCTGGAGACGGAGGTAATACCTTGGTGCTGGGAGTGAAACATGAGCTTATGGATTATCTGGAGGCCCAGAATTTCAAACTTTTTTGTGGTGCCCGTGGCCTGTGGTACAGCTGAAGGAACCAAGGCAACAGGAGAAATCAATTCCTCCGCCCAAGGATCCTCCGAAGAAACAGTTGATGGAAGAAAGGGAGACCGAAAAGGAGTCGGAACCAGAGCTTTCTTTGGAGGCTCTGGAGAAGACATCTGAATAGTTTTCCCCTGTCACTACTTCCTTTGAAGTAGTATGCTAAGGATGCGGCTTTTAACTAAGTCTCTCCTAAAATCCTTCAGGGTAAGTTCTTTTCTCTCATTTAACCTGTTTTAATGGTTAAGGTTAGTCAGTTAAACCTGCAACATAGCAGAGCAGCTTCATACAATTTAGCTGCTCAATTAGGTAAGCAAGGCACTTTTGTTGCCTTAATTCAAGAACCTTGGGTGTACAAGGGTAAAATCCTTGGTAGGCTCATGAACGCGCACTTCTTTTCGACAGAGGGACCTGATAAAAGACCTAGAACTAGCATTTACATTTCTAAAAATATAAAAGCTATGAAATTATCCCAATTTACATCAGAGGACTTAACTGCTATTTTAATTAAGGACATAAACAGTTCACTGAGAGGAAACATTTGTTTTTGCTCGGTTTACATGGCTTATGACCTTAACATTCCGTAAGAATTTATAGATCTTGTGAATTTCTGTGAAATAAACAATATTCCTATGGTTATTGGTGGTGATGTTAACGCTCACCACCTGTCATGGGGCAGTTCTGATACTAATCCTAGAGGAGAAAAACTCATGGAACTTATAATGAATACCAACCTAACTTGGGTAAACAGGGGAAATCGCCCCACCTTTGTTAACAGAAGAAGAGAAGAAGTCATTGACCTCACATTAACTTCTGATATTTATAACCTTATTGAGAATTGGCATTTAAGTGACAATCCCTCACTTTCTGACCATCGCCTTATACAATTTTGTATTAGAGATGAAATTCCAGCTGAATATTTCAGAAACATTAAAAACACAAATTGGGACCTTTATAAGGACTTCCTGGTTTCTAATGTCATTAACCTTCAGGTTTTAGACAATAATTGTACAGTCGATAAGCTTGATACTCAAGCAAACAATTTGACAAATATCATTATTGAATCTTATCATGCATCATGCCCTCTCAAACGAAGGAAGTACTCTCCTAGCAAGAGAGTTTGGTGGACCAAGGAGCTTGAAAGCCTCCGCCTAGAGGTTCGGAGAGCTCACAGGAAAGCAGTCAGAAATAAATCTGAAGTTAACTGGTCTAACTTAAAAATTCTACAAAGGAAATTTAAAAGTGAAATCATGAAAACTAAATACAACTCATGGAGATCGTTCTGCACAGATATTCTGTCCTACCATGAGACTGGCAGAGTATATAAGATTCTTAAAAGATCTCAGGAGTCTCAACTCTCATCGGTTATGCGACCTGATGGCAGTTATACTATAAACCCTTTGGATACACTTTCGACCATGTTGAATTTTCATCTGGGGGACAAAAGTGTCAACTCTGACCCCCAGGAAAATCCATTGGAACTACTTCATAATCCATTAGATCTGGATTTTGCTAAGACAATTGTGAATTTTGAAAAGGCTAAAGCGGCCCTTGATGTATTTCTTCACTTTAAATCTCCAGGGAACGATGGCATTTACCCAATTCTGCTTCAGAAAGGCTGGGATATTTTTGGTCACATTCTCGTGGACATATTCGAATCCAGTTTGATTTTAGGATATGTTCCTAAGGTTTGGAGAACTTCACGAGGTGTGTTTCTTCCTAAACCAGGAAAAGATACATATGAGAAACCAAACTCTTTTAGAATGATCACGCTAACATCCTTCCAGCTTAAGCTGTTGGAGCGATTGATTTTCTGGCACCTCCAGTCAGATAATAATCTGAACCATACCTTTGGCTTAGACCAACACGGTTTTAGGCCTGGCTTCTCCACTGAGTCGGCCTTACACCAACTCGTGTGTAGAATAGAAAAAACAATTATAGACGGACACTTTGGCATTGGGATTCTACTGGATGTTGTAGGAGCCTTTGATAACATCGGTTTCGAGAAAATACATAAGGCCCTTACTGGAAGTCATATTCACCCTATGATAACTAGATGGGTCATCTTCATGATTAAAAACAGGAATATCTGTGTTAGTCTCGCTGACTATGAAGTAAAGAGAGATATTACTAAAGGGTGTTCGCAGGGTGGTATTCTTTCTCCGTTCCTGTGGAACCTGGTATTCGACTCACTCTTAGTACTTCTACAGGAGGAACCTGGCATGTCACAGGCTTATGCAGATGACCTTATTGTGTTATTACAGGGTTTCGATATCGGAACCCTACATAATCAAGCTCAGCAGATCTTAAATAAAGTTTCACACTGGGGTGATACAAATGGCCTTTCTTTCTCTGCTGAAAAATCTGAGGTCATAGTTTTCACATGGAGAAGGAAATGGAAACTGGCAGATTTATATCTGGGTTACCAGATTATTAGGCGTAAGGAATGCGTTAAATACCTAGGATGTTACCTGGATAGTAAACTTACATGGATCACCCATATAAAAGAAAAGGCACAAACAGCCACAAATGTTCTAGTACTTTGTAGGCTAATCGTTGGTAAACAATGGGGCCTTAACCCAAAATCTACTCTATGGATTTATACTGCCATAGTCCGGCCAATGCTTTCTTACGGATGTGTGGTCTGGATTAATGTTATTAACAAAAGCACATATTTAAACATTTTACAAAAGGTGCAAAAACTTGCTTGCCTAAGCATTAGTGGGGCTTTAAATAGTACCCCTACTGCTGCATTAGAAATTTTACTGCAAATTCCACCCTTGAAATTATTCTTGAGCGGAGAAGCAATTAAAGCCATGTATAGATTGAATAAAAATGGCACATGGTGCCAAAGGACAGGTTTT